CATGCAGCACCATGCACCACCGTAGAGGACTGCCATGCACCAACATGCCTGTGGTCGGTGGCCCCATTGCTGCCCCACTCGCTGTGGGGCYGGGGAGCCCCCAGGGGACATAGGGGGGTGCTATAGGGGTGCTATGGGGGTGCAGGGCCCCATTGGGAGGATAGGGCCCCTATAGGGTTTAAGCTGCCTGTGGACTCCACAGTTATGTATATAGAAACCACTATATGGTTTAAGACCTATACGGACCCTACAGCTGTCTATACGAGCTCTATATGTTGCAGAGCACGTATGAGATACAGACTGGCAAATATAGGTTGCTGTAAAGTGCAGGACATATATATAACACAGAATCTCTATATGGCTTATATATGCATAGGAGCTTCACATGCAGCATGCGTGTGGGTTATGCGGCTCCTATAGGGTTGCGGATGCCATTGGGGCAGGGGCTGGTAGGGCCCTATAGCATGTAGATACCCTAGGGGGGCGGATGGGGTTAGGGGGCACTAGTAGGTATGGGRACCCTATAGGAGGCAGGAACCTGCTGTGGTGCAGCTCGGGGATGCAAGTCCCCTATGGGGTGAGGGTCCCCCTATGGGATCTGGGTTCTCCTATGGGGTGAGGGCTCCCCTATAGGATGCCGATTCCCCTATGCGGTATAGGTTTGGCCATGCGGTATAGATCCCAGTATGGGATATGGTTTGCCCCGTGGGATGCAGATCCTCCTATGGTGTGAGGGCTCCCATATAGGTGCTGGTTCCCCTGTGGSGTGTGGGTTCCCCCATGGGGTGTGGGCTCCCCTATACAGTATGGATTCTCCTGTGATGTATAGGGTTTTCCTACAGGGCGTGCATCTCCCTGTAGTGTCCAAGTTCCTCTATAGGGTGTGGGTCCTTCTATGAGGTGCAGGTCCCCCATGGGGTCCCCTACRGGGTGCAGGTCCCTCTATAGGGGGWGGGTCATCTGTGGGGTCCCCTRCAGGGTGCAGGTCCCCCTATAGGGTGCGGGTCCCCTGTGGGATCCCCTATAGGGTGCAGGTACTCCTAAGAGGTGCAGGTCCCCCGTGGGGTCTGCTATAGGGTGTGGGTCCCTCTATAGGATGTGGGTCCCTGTATGAGGTGTGGGTCCCCCGTGGGGTCCCCTATAGGGTGCGGGTCCCCTGTGAGGTCCCCTATAGGGTGCGAGTCCCCCTATAGGATGTGGGTCCCCCTATAGGGTGTGGGTCCCC